CTATATAACATTTTAGACACATTCTAGACAGTTTATCAGCTAAAAAAAGTTAATTTTGGGGTAAGTTACTTCTTAAAGGGCTGTAGTTTTGAAATGGACTTTATGTTTTGAGGAATGTCATTCCATGCTTTAGTATAAACATAGAAGAAAGACCTCTGGCTGTAACAGTTTTTAAAAGTTGGTAATATACTCATTTTTGGATGTTTATTTCAGCCATACAGTTCACCAAATATAACAGTTCTGGAACCCAGTAATGTGATKTAAGCATTACATGTGAAATTCTCAAAAGTCAAATTTACAGGCGAGCAGATCCGTGCACTCACTTTATATGACAGGATTCTCTCCAAAGTATCAAGGTTACCGAAACCTTTCCTTTGCAGAAATTCTTAAAAGTAAATCTTAACTTTTGCAAAACGGGAAAAAAAATTATAAATAAAAAATGAATGTGGGACAAATCGTTTGAGAATAATACAATATTAATGAAACCTAAACCTTTTCTCAAAAAACACAATGTCAAAATCAGCAAATTGGATTCTGAATAGCTACATTCCATTGGTCGCCTTTTAGCCTAAAAATAGCGATTTTAAACTTGAAACACAGCATGAAACACAAAGTCCAGAAAAATATTGGGACATTTTTTATTGTTGCTTTAAAATCCCTCCCCAGCCTACAAAACAAAATAAAAATATATAACATGACTACTTACTCATAAAAATAATCTGAATCTGTATGTTTATTTGAAATTGAGCATGAGTGAACTTTAGATTTTAGAAATGCATTGTCTCTTTTTTATAGAAAATTTCATTTTACATTTTCTCTCCATTCGATTTTACGTACAATAATAACATTTAAACTTTTACATTTCTTAAAATAAATGGGCACTCTGCCCCAAAACACATTGATAATTCATTTAAAATATAAATATAATATAAATGTTTATTTTAAAAAAAATGTTTAACTGACAGAATGATACATGGACTGGATGAAAAACTGTTTCATTCTTTTGATTACCTTTGTCAATCAGGACCAACCTGGGTGGCACCGGTGGCAGCGGTCAGCCAGTCGAGTCTCCTGCCCCACACCTACACCCTCCCCCAGCCTCCATCGTTCAACCACAGCGTCACAGCTCAGTCGCCCATCATCGGCGTGACCCCATCCATCCAGGCGCCGGTGGCCCAGCAGCATCCCCTCATGACCACCCACTTCCAACTCACGCCGCAGTCCACTCAGCAGCCGCCCTCAATGGTGCTGAGCCTGCCCAGCCAGCCTCCCTACGTGACGGCCCAGCCGACGGTCACGCCCGCTGCCCTCGCTGCCCAAACCAACCAGGTGGTTCATCCGAATCCCCACAGCATCATGGGCAACGGCCACCTGACCTCTCACTCCRGCCTCCTCCAGCCCCCCGCCCTGCCCCTCACCAACGGACAGGCGGCGTCGSTGCATGCCCAACCTACAGCTGCAGACAATCAGGATGGTCCCAAYGGGTTGCAAATGCTGCGGACAGTCGGGAGTGGGAAGTACGAGTTCAGTGACCCGGGACACCCCAAAGGTAAGCAGGCTGTTTTGGCTGGTGCATTTTGCAACACAGAGATATTGTTTTGTGTGAGTGTTTGTGTATTTTCGAAAAGATCACTATATACTGCATGCTTTTCAAGGCTATATCAAAGCAGAATCTGTTTGGTTCTGAGCTTGAAAGAGAATCCAAGATTGAACATTGTTTGCTAACAAATCAAGTACTCATACCTCTTTGTCGCTGGTGACCCTTCCCTTATGTGAGGCTTTGCTGGAATGAAATACACAGGCCTCTGCCCTCTGTCTTTAAACCAGAGCGATTTCAGATGCCAGCACTCATAAACAAGGCTTTAAACATCCCGGCAAGAAGTTGTTGAGATGCACTTTGCAGCCAGAAACCAATTCACCTCAAAGCTGATCCAAGGTCACAAGAACAGAGGTGCACCTTAAGAATAAGAGAGATGGGTGGAACGTAAGGCCAGCCGTACCTCCTGTGTACCGTTCTTCTGATTCTAAACTTCTATACCATAGCAACATCAGTATTACTGTGCTCTGAAATTGGTTTTCACTGTGTCGGGTTAATCTTTTCCACCGCACCCAGCCGCTGTGCACACAAGCCGCACTAAACGCGAGGYGGGAAGCGCTTTCAGCCGCTGCCCTCACATCTCCCCTTAAAATCACCCGAAGCCTTGTTGACTTGAGCCGTGTGTTGTGAAGTTGGTTCACAGCTCCGTCTCACTCCTGAGTCTGCAGAGCCGTGAATTGTTGTTTGCTTTAACCTTGCAGTTTATGAYGCAGGCGGCGTGCTCGAAACAGATGTTCACAATTCCCCAACCAATTTTCACATTTAATGAAGCTTTTAATTTAGGCTTAGATTGTTTTTCTTTTTACCTGACTTATTTTGATCAATAAAATGGCTCCAAATGAACTTGTAGATTGGGAAGGGGGAAAAAAAGCAATTATTATAGTGGGGGGAGTGGGCTGCCTGTGATACTTCGAAATGAGTCTGCAGGTGGAAATGAAAGTGGAAAATTAGATTGGCTCATCTGCCTTGTCCGGCTGAATCTAAACTTCTTTGCCTTCGTCTTTAATAGGCTCCATTAGACGTCAGAATGTTCTCTTTCTTTTGGACACATTAAGTTGGGATRGTAGTATTTTTAGAGAACTGTTTATATAGAAATAATCCTTCTTGGAATTGGATAAATTTAAGTCTTGCAGGAATGGGTTAAGTAGTAAGAACCAGTACATTTGCTGAGATAAGATCTCTTTTAGTCGACTTCTTTGCGGGGGGAAAAAATAATTTTTTTCCTCCTTCTATAAGCACAATAATGCCACCCAGACTGTTCTGGCCCACAGAGCTGTCCTGTTCTAATGTTCTCTCTGAGCTTTTCTGTCCTTCTGTTCGAAGCCATGGGAGTTTTCAGAAATTTTCTATTTTTCTAGTTGGTATTTAAGYATTTAACAATATTTAGGCATAATGTGTTGCTTTCAGTCCTAACTCATCACAGATGGGCAGAAACTCAACATGTTTTAGGGTTTAAGTCACAACAGTTTATGTGTCCATTTAAGGAGTTTAGTCTTTCAGGCTGATGATGCAAGAGCTGTGGAAATTGTTGTCATAACAGTGAGAATAAGAAGTGCAAATCTTTTCTTCATAYTAAGCATTTTTGTATATTTTGTTGCAGAAAACATGAACTTTTGATAAGAAAGGATTAAGCAGGGTCAAGCCTTTTAGTAAAAAAAAAAAAAACACCTCAAATTTATTGTTAATTATTTGAATTTTCTTCAAATATCTCTTCCAACAGCCCATTGCTCATCTAGCAGCCGACATTTCCATTTGGCTATCGTGTGGTAAATTAAAGTTTACTCACCTYAAATTCAGCAACTGAAACCCTTTTAGTAAGAGATGGGTGCTGGTGCTAATCCCATTCCTTGATTTTCACCAGTCTAGTGGGTCAACATGGAAAGCAGTGGTGGGAAGTGTTACACTAATCAGCTAATAATGCAACTAGGTTCTTATTTAGTGAATTAGCTTTTTTTCTTTTTTGCTAACTTTGGAAACCATTAGCAGACTAGTTAGGCTCTGCTAATTTTAAGTCAACTAAAAAAAGTTGCAAGTGTAAAACTTCTACACACACACACACACACACACACACACACACACACACA